AGGGAGTGATCAAAGTCCACTCTTTTCCCTAAGCATTCTAGGAACTTGTGTCTTTCTTCCCTGCGAATGAATCGTAGAATCATCCCACTGGATCTCATCCAAACCTCAGGCCAATCCAAGCCATTCATTGTCTTTGAACTCAGATACCTCCCCCCCATGTCTAGTTACTGAGTCAAGATTATGGCCTCTTTCAGACTATGAGTATGTTTAAGAAGAGGCAGAAGAGCTTTGAGCTTTGAGGAGGGCAGGCAGCCGCTGACTGTTGACTTCAAATATTTGGTGGCTGTCATGTTGAAGATGGAGGTTTGTCCAGGTGTGGGCATGACCTTAGTCCTTTGTGTCCAGCAGGTTGCAGTATGCAAGGAAACTTAGACTCCCTCTCTCCCTCTCTGTCTCTGTCTCTGTCTCCCTCTCTTTCCCTATTATAGTCCAGTGCAGAAGGCTATGCCTGAAACTCAATACTGAGAAGAGACCACACGGTGTAGTAGTTAGGCCCAAACACTCTGGGATCAAAATCTCAGATCTGGTTCCAATGCCAGCTCAGCAATGTATTAGCTGTGTAATCTAGGGCAGGCTACTTCAGCCACTCTATGCCTCAGTTTCCTTATCTGCATAATGGGGATGATAATTGAGGCTACCTCATAGAATTTTTAGAGAGATTAAATCAGATATAATTTATAAAGTGCTTAGAACAGCCCCTGAGACACTTTAGGCATCACAAGTATTTGTTAAATATCAGGAGAAAAAAATGTTTGAATAATAAATAACGAAGATCAGTTCATGGCAACTTTACCGGGCATTCTTTAATTTCTGGAGTTCTGGGCTCTTCCATTCTAGTCAATTTTGGATGATGTCCAGGAAGAACTTGCCTACAGCGACATCCCCCTGAGACAATGCCAGTGTCCTAGAGGGTCTGAAGATCTTACTAAGCACTGCAGAACACCCAGGCCTGTTTTATTCCCAGTGCTAAGAATGCTAACAAGCAGGAGTCTAGGAAGGGTGACTCAGGGTATTAGGAGGGATGAGCGCAGCAAGAGTTCCCAGACGCAGCTTTTCAGAAAAGGTTTCTGGGAAAACCAAAACCAGGGCTGGCATCGGGGGCACGTTTTGCAATGCTCTGCCAGTCCTGCAGCCTGGCTCACCCACGTCTTGTTTTGCTCTGGTCCTTACTGTCTATGCAGGGAAGGGATAACTGCGTGGATTATGGGACATTCTGGGTATCTTGAGACAATTAATTATCCTGCTCTTGACATGCCTGAAACACAGAGAGATTATGCAACTCAGCCGGTCACGTAGCACAGCGAGGCCGAGCTGGGTCAGATCTGCGGCCTCCAGATTCACGTGTAGCCTGATGAGATTCACTGCCGTGCTGCTGTCCCAGCAGGGACTTTGTTTAGTCACAGAAGCTGCTCACATAATTTCAGAAATGTGTGGCCAGGGAATCCCAGGTCATCTGGTGAAAATGACATTACCAGGAAATTAAAACAAAGTTTCTGGAGGAAGCTGTGCGTCAGGATCAAGTAGAGGGAAAAAAATCAAAACAGAACCAAAAATCAGCTGTGTATATAAACAAAAGCATTACTACTTTGCTGATACCTTCTAGAGCACATTAAGGTTGGTGCAGCCTCCAATATTTAAGATAGCACGAATGCAGAAGCAGCAATTTGTAATTGCAGGTTTGCATTGATGTTTGCATAACAGACCACTTAGGAATGCACTTAAAAATAGTTTTGTAAAGGCTCAAATGAAGTTGGGAAAATACCCGTCTTTTATTTCCTATTCCTTCCTGGTTCCCAGTGAGCGGGAAAGAAGGTGGTGGAAAGAGAATGGGGTCTGGAATTGTACAGACCTAGGTTTGAATTCTTCCTCTGCCACTAAGAGTATGACCTTGAGCAATTTGCTTAGCCTGTTTGACCTTCAGTTTCCTCATTTACAGAATGGTTATAATACTGACCTCACAAGATTGAAGTAAGCAAAGCCTCTACCAAGTGCCTGGTACATAATAGACACTCAGTTAGGTCTGGACTGTAGCGTATCTCAGGCTCATGTAAAATGTAAGGGTAGACAGATATGTCCACAGAACAGAAAAGCTCAGAAATAAATCTGCACATATGTGGTTAATTGATTTTGCAAAGATTCCAAGATTATTCAGTGGAACAAGGACAGTCTTTTCAACAAGTGGTGCTGGAACAGTTGGACTTCCACGAGCAACAAGTAAGTGAACCTTGACCCATGTCTTGCATCACATGTAAAAAATAACTTGAAATGTACTATAGTCCTAATCGTATGAGCTAAAGCTGTAAAACGTCTCAGAGAAAATTCGGACAAAATCACTGTGACATTGGGTTAGACAAAAATGTCTTAGGATACTGAAAGCATAAACCATAAAAGTTTTTGATAAATTGAACTTCATTAGTATAAACAAACGTTTGTTCTTCAAAAGACACTGTTAAGGAAAGGCAAATGCAAGGCACAGACTAGGAGACAGTATTTGTAAAAGGCCTCTATTTCTTCAGCATTGCCATCTCCCGAAACTGTGGCCCGGAGTAGATGTGGTTAATAATTCGTGTGTGTCTCCATCCCCCCCAGGAATGCACTTTCTAGATGCTGTTCCCGCCTTCCTCACTACTTATGCTATCTTCTCTGCCATGCCTCTCATAATCCCGTCATGAGTGGGGCTGGCGGGAAGATGGAGCTCTGTGTTATGACACTGCAAGCCCACGCCTTCAACTGCATCCCTGGCAAAGCAGAAAGGAACAACAATGAGAAAAGTCTGGAGACAGGCATATGCCCACTAAGAAGCAGCCTGAAGCCCGTGGTAGCAACAGGACACTCTCAGCAATGACACCGAAAAGCATAGACTGAGCATATGCGTACTGCCAGGCACACGCCTGAGTGCTGCACTTGCATCATTTCATTTAACTGTGGAAGAAACATCCACGCGCGGAGCCAGCACAGAGTCCCAGAGGCAGCAGGGTCGCCAGGCAGGCGGCCAGCAGAGTTTCATTCGGGCTGTCCCTGCCTTGATACCTGCAATGGGCTTTGTTCTTCCCATGTCTCTGAAGTGCTTTATCCCCTGGACTTCATTTTGGATTCATCCATGTCATGCCTTGTCTTCGGACTGTTGGCTCAATTTAGGGGATTTCTCTTGTTCGAGAATTCAGCCTCTGTTTGGCTTTCTGGCACCAAGCTTTGCTTGCTCCTTAATTCTGGTAACCCCTTCCCCCACCCTATCTCTGCTCCCTCTAGGCTTCTATTTTCAGTGCTTGAACATCCCTGGTGATTGTGAATCTCATATGTCCCCAGATACATAATCAACAATATTGGGATCAACCATCAATAGGCATCACCACGCTCATAGGTCTCTCTTTTCTATGGAAGTCTTCAGATACTTAAGATGAATACAGGTTGGAAAGGTCACATCTACCTTTGCCAAGATAGTTGTGCAGCTTTTTAAGTATTAATATAACCGTGAGGATGTCTTTTTTGGTGAGCAGATTTCCCATGTATGGGTGGTCTTGGTGTTGGATTGTCAGCAGCTGATACCCCGGAGCCAGCTGGGGACTTATGGGTGAGCCCAGATCTTAAGAGGAGTGTACCAGTGGGGACCACAGCAGGAGGCGCTCATCACCCCGCTCTTTGCACAGGTATCCTAAAAGAATTCGGGCCAGGTGCTAACCCAAGTGGGTTCATGTAGCAGCACTGGAAGTCCCAGGGCCTGGGCTACATATGTTCCTGGTGGGACAGAAGGATGTTGCCAGGCTTCTGCTCAGCTTCAATTTAACAACAGCTGAACCACAAGAGAAGCTTTCTCTAGAGCTGATTCCCCAAGATAGTCTGACTGCAGTTTATGGGCCACAGACAACTGGGGGCAGAGCAATATTCCCAGTTTACTTCAACTTAACATGAGAGGCTCTCAGAATAAACATCCCGGGAAGCAGATGAACTGACATCAAAGACTTCAATTCCTTTTCCAATTTTGATCACAGCAACCCTTTCCACACAGGTCTACAGAGGTTTTCAAAGCTTGAACTGTGCTCAGCTGCTCCTCCTGTGACCTGCTGGAGAGGCAAAGAGATGTGTGAATGGTCTGTGTGTGATGCTGCGAAGAGCACAGTGCCCGCAGAGCTGGAGTGAAACCAACCACAGTGTCTTCACAGTAACCGGTTTCCACTTCACGCAGACTACTGAAAAAAATCTAAAAGATTATATATATATATGGTGTCCCAAAAAATGTATACATACCTTAACAGCTGATAACTCACTTAATTTTGAAAATGAACTGTATATTAATAAACAAGGACTTTATAATCATTCAAAATGTGTGTACATTTTTTGGGGGGTAGCCTGTATATATATATATATATTTAATTATAAAAGTGGATTAATGAGCTGCTTGCTACGGAAGACAGGCAGGAGCTCTCTGTGTTTCTCAAGGGCGAGCCTGCACCAGCAGCCTTACACCTCAGTGTCATTAAGCTGAGGGGCCACGCAGCTCTTGTAATTCTTTGTGATGAAGCCCCCCCAGGCCTAACCATTTTGGACCCCAGGAATCAGAGGTGTGGAAAGGTTCGGCGAAGGTTGAAAAATTTGAACCGCTGGCGGAAGAACAGAGGTTTAAGCCCTAGCTTCTTCACAGGAAATCCTGCACTTGCTTCCAACTGTCTTACATCCAGATGGTGGGTCTTTGTCTTTGAAAACCTGCAGAGGGGGCGTCTGGGTTATTCCCCAGGAGGGAGAGGAAACTGAGCTCATTTTCAGTGAGAGAGGCCTTTGGGGAACAGCGCTAACCAGGCAGGCTCCTTTCCCGTCTCCTGGCTCATTTTCGTGGCCACCTGAAAACTTTGGCTGGGCGCTGGGAGCCAGGAGCCATGCGCCCGGCTCCCAGCCTCTCTCTTTTCACAGCTGCACAGCCGGGGAGCTGCCGCAGCGCTCGGAGTTCACTGCTCGCTCTGCCAGGCCGACCTCTGTTGTAAATTTTCCTCCCAGGACACGTGACGATGCGTTTCTAGACTATATATCCCGGCTGCAGCCGCCCAGCTGTCAGAGCGCGAGCCCGTGAGCAGGACGCCCTTGGACTTGGCCTGCTGGGGAGTCAGGGCCTCGGACGCCTTTGCCAGACTTTGGTAAGTCAGCGATGCTCCTTGGCTTCAGAAATACCCCAAAGAAGGCTACTTCTCGCAACCAGTGGGCGAAGTTTTCCTTTCCTTTTTAAAAATATCTTGCTCTAAGGGAACTTTGTTTTGAATTAAAAACAGTTTTACGTTGGAGAAGCAAAATGCAAACTTTCTCTTTTCTGCTCAGTTCCAAACACTTTCGCAGGGATTACGAGGCTATTTATTTTCTCTGTGCTTCCTTGTCTAACACTGATCCCCCCCTTTGCTTTTTAAAATAAGCAATGCTTTTTTGCACGCTCGCTCTGTGAATTGCAAATACGGTGGATGTGACTAGACTAAAAAAATGAGAGTCCTTCTTATACCCCCCCTCTCCCTGCCTTCCCCCCCTGCACCCACCCCTGGGCTGTCGGTGGGACCCCCGCCTGCCCTTTCTGCGCGCGCCCCGAAGCGCCTGGACGGGGTCCTCCGGGCCGACGGGGGGCGCTCACCGGCGGCTCTCTCCGCAGGCCCGGCTGCGCGCAGCGCTCCGATGCTGGAGATGGAGCCCCTCAACAGCACGCACCCCAGCACCGCGGCGCCCGTCACCCCGCTGGAGTCCCACAGCCCCGGCGGGGCCGGCGGCCACGGGAACGAGTACTTCTACATCCTCGTGGTCATGTCCTTCTACGGCGTGTTCCTGCTGGGCATCATGCTGGGCTACATGAAGTCCAAGCGGCGGGAGAAGAAGGCCAGCCTCCTGCTGCTGTACAAGGACGAGGAGAGGCTGTGGGGCGAGGCCATGAAGCCGCTGCCCACCGGGCCGGGCCTGAGGCCGGCGCAGGTGCCCGTGATGCTGAACATGCTGCAGGAGAGCGTGGCGCCCGCCCTGTCCTGCACCCTCTGCTCCATGGAGGGCGACAGCGTGAGCTCCGAGTCCTCCTCGCCCGACGCGCCCCTCACCATCCAGGAGGAGGGGGCCGACGACGAGCTGGGGGAGACCTCCGAGACGCCCCTGAACGAAAGCAGCGAGGGCTCCTCGGAGAACATCCATCACAATTCCTAGCACCCCCCGGGCCTCTGGAGGTGGCCCCGTCCGCCGGCTCCCCTAGAGAGAGGAAGGACACGTTCCGTGTCTGGGTTCACTGTTGCAGTGCAGCTGCCGCTTTGAAGGGACCCTCGGCCAGCCCCCTGAAGGGGGGACGCTGGGGGACCCGGCTCAGCCGGAGCCAGCAGCAGCCAGGAGTCCGAGACGCGCCTGTGGTGTGAACCCGCCGCTGCAGAAGCTCTGAAGACGTGCAGTGCGTGCATTTCCTTGGGGCCTGGGGCTCGGGGGTCCTGCTCAGAATTTGGCAGGTCCGGGGTCTTGCTCTCGTGCTCTCACTGGATGCCCTGGGTAACCCCTGCAGCCCCTGCCCACTCCCAGGGCTGCCCAGTGCCCAGGACATGCTGGGAAGCCAGCTGTGGTTTGCTAACTTGCCTAGAGCTTTGTTCTTCTAGACCTGACTGGCTGTAAGTACCTCCGCGGGGTGCCTGTGGTATGAGTTGGCCAGGTACAGTGCTTCTGGTCTTTTGGGTTGGGAGGGGGCCGTTTAGAGGAAGACTTTCCATGGGAGAAAGCTGGAGATTTGAACCCAGCCCATTTGCATATCGTAAGGGGGTGGGGGGGGGAGGAAATGCAACCTTTAAACTTGTTAACATTGGCTGGGATTATAAAACATGACCCTTTCTCTAACCTATGACCTTGAACTCTGACCTGGGACCATCCAGCATTCCATGCTGGCATGAAGTTTTTCCAGTTGGAAGGGCTTCTCCAGAATCTAACCTGCCCTCCTAATGGCGGTGCAGGGGGCTCTTCCTGATCTTTCCAGAAGGGGTACTGGTGGGGTTGAACCAAGCTAGCAGTTAGCTCTGTTGCTGCTCATTTCCCAGCCTGGTTTTCGGAGCTGGGAGGGGACATAATGTGGGCCTCGGTGCTATGGCCTTTCGTTACGTAGCTGAGACCTAGAAGGGCAGACTCAGGCAGCAATCGCATAAAGCTGGGGTCCAAGTTCTGTTTCCTGATCCCGAGCCCTGACACTGGTTTGCTGTGTGGTCCTGGGCATGTCATCAAGAGGTTTACCGCCTCCATGAGACTCCCGATGATCTGCATCCCCAGGGGGCTGGGAGGATGTCTTCAGATTTTAAGACTCTGATAAATCCTGCATGGCCTGGTGTGAGGAAGCTTGGACACAATATTTCCCCCTTGAGCAGTCAGTCTGAGAAAGGATCTGCTTATTTAAAGGAGCAGTTGGAGACTAGGAACTGGGAAATTCAGGGCAAATCACCAACTCATCTAGGCTGCAGACATCGTGTTTTACTCTGCAAAGCTCTCTGGGCGCTGGAATGTTAACCCTCCGGCTAGGGGAACGAGAAACCCAAAAGGAAATAAATGCTCAGGAATGCTGCCGACCTCCCGTGTATTCCTGCGGGCCATGGCTTTGCAGCAGACCCTCCAGGCACTCGAACGCCAGGAGGAAGAGAAACACACCAAAGGTCAAATTTGATTCTAGTAAAAACAAAAAACTTCTTTTTTAAATTAAAACAAACATACTCTCCCTCGTTTGGAGACAGCAGTAACTACTTGTTCCCACGGAAGGGTTAACAGTGTAGGAGCTGGTCTATCAGCTCTCCTTAGCACAGTGCTAGGGGAAATTTATGTTTGGGGGCGGGGGGAAGGGGGCCTCTGTTCACTTTAAAATTCAGAGTGTGGATTTACTCCAAAGGGGGCTGTTTAAGGTGAAAGAAGCCAAGTTAAGTTGGCCCCTTGCCTGGAATCACTTGAATTCTGCAACTTGACTGCGACGGACATGTGCGTGGTCACATTTTCCATTGCTTCATCCTGAAGTTTGGTGCAAATCTAGCTGCGCCTATTAAACAGTGATGTATATACTTCCTTCTTGTTCTGTGAAGTTGTATAAAATTGTTCTCTGTATTTAACAGTTTGTCATGTTCACGATATTTTTTAATTTAAATAAACAAACACATTTCCCTGAGGAAGTTCTGAGTTCTTTCTTTGACTCTGCAGCATAATTACTAGTTTCTGAGACATGCCAGGCACATTCTCCCAGCCATCTCCGGATCTGATCCGGGTCCTTTTCCAAGTTAAGACTCCCACGAAGACATATTTTATTCCTGCCTTAATCACGCACTGAACAGGGCTGGGCTTTTCCGTCTTGTGACATGCTTTGCAATGAATGAAAAACAAGTTGCAGAGAGTCTTACATCAATTTCGCTTTTTAAATTTGATGGCCGTGGGGGCCTTTGAACTTGAACCTGAAACTGCTACAAAGATGTTGCTCCAAATTTGGTTGCCAGAATGCGTTTGGTTTGCGTGTCAGCTTGGCAAGTATTATTCGCATGTGGCCGCAGCAGCACACACTGATGGGCAGGAGTTGCTGTATATACAGTAACACAAACTTAGGAAAATGCTGGAGCACAAAGGCTGTGATTGGGGACGGCGCCTTCCTTTTTCCCCCCAGTCACCTCGGCACGAAGACTGGCTTTCTAAGCTCTTCCCACCTGGTCTGGTTGGAGCTCTGGCCCACAGGCTTTATTATTTTATTTACATAGTCAGAGGTGCTAAAGAAAAATGCCCTGAGCCAGTGACCCATTTTGAAGCAAGCAGATGATACAGAACATCCTTACTTTTATGTTTCTCTGTGTCCTGTGAGTTTGGCTTTTCTGATTCAAGTAAATGTTTCTATTAGGTGCACAAATAACTGTCTCCCTAAAGGATTTATCTGGCAAAGGTACAGGGGAGCCTGGATCCTTCCTGAAACACATCAAGGATCTTCATCCATCAGTTGGTACTTTGACAATGTAAGACGACAAGATATTTAAAAGACAAGAAAGGCCTTCAATTTATCCCAGTTTATTCTTGGTAAGGAAATAGTTAAGGAAAACATTTTTACCATGGGCGGAAGAAGAGGGAATTCTAAACTCTAATTGTCCTAAAAATATGCAGAGTACACTATGTCGTTTTAATGGAATATTTGTTTTCTTTAAAAAAACACACACAAAACTTCTAAGCAGAACCTAAGGCCCAAGGGGTTTAATCTGTGTGGATTTACTCATGCATGTGAAAAACAGAGAAGAGAATTTGGCTCCGTGCACCTAGGCTATTAGAAACATATTTTAAAGCACTTAAATGTTAGGGATGAGGTAAATGGCTCATCCATGCTGTTCTAATTACACCTTTGTACGTCAAAGTCAGGCAGGGATGCTGTAGAGAAAACTTTCAGGGACAGAATCATGGGATCCAAACTACCCGGAAAGGCTGAAGTTGGGCCAAGGAATGAGTGCTCTTGGCTCATGGCTCTGGTTGGAGAGTAGACGCCGTGGTACATTCGAGAGCTGCAATTGGAGAGTTTTGTGGTCAGGCAGGGACTTCCAGGGCTCAGCCGAAGGTCATTTATCATCCTATAAAATGCTGCCCTGATCCTAGACGTTGTGGAACAGACAGAGCGTTGAGCTTACAATGCAACTGATACTTCAGGTGTAGGCCCAGCACACATTTGCTCCATGGCCTTACCTCAAACCTGGGCGTTCAGCTGCAGAAAATCACATGGCGTATCATGGGTCAAGGTCAGGGGGTGGCCTCTAGGGCTGGAGGGAGGCATATCAGCTGATGAGCAGGGGAATGGGTCGGGCAGGTGAGGGACCTCAGGAAGGAAGGCAGCGGGTTTAGTAGAGGCTCAGCCTTGCCATGTCTAGCTTTCTAGACTACCTCTGCTATTGCTTTGCTCTGTAGCTCTTTCAAAATGAGAGGACATGCTGGCCTTCCTCTCCAGGGACTTGTTAATGAGAAGAAGGGTCAGACATTGAGATACTGAGCTCTGCTTGAACCTAAAGGCAAAGCAGCTTCAGGCCTCTGCTTTGTAAAATGTGTCCTGGGCATTCGTCTGCAAATAAGTCACCAAGACCTCCTCTTCCGTGGACGGTCTCCTCAGGAGATAGTGATGTTTAGGAAAGAGATATGATTTGTTAAAGGAGAAGGGTCATAAGAGAGAAAACCACTGTTCATGTCTGACTTTCTCCATTTCTGAAGTGTTTCCTCCCACACAGGAAGGAACTGTTTGGGATGGGAGCTGTTACTATGGAGATAACCAGCCAAGGTCCATGGCCCCACAGCACTGGATTAGAGTGACTTTATGAAGTTGGGATTTGGTCCTCGGCTCAGGCGACGAGCTTTGAGCCCACGCAGCCTCCGCTGTGACATGGAGGAGGAACGCAGGCAGCGCACTGCCCTCCTTTTGTCGGGGACAAACCCTTCTTTCTTCTCCTTGCACCTACTCTACCCCATGCAATACAGGACTAAGCTTTCGTTCTCTCTGTTCTAGGAATTTATTTTTTTACCTTTTATTTTGTTGCTAGGAAGCACAATCAAAGAATTCACATCAACAACTGTACTCTTTCCCTGTCCTGAATGATTTTCCACCTCTTGTTCAATGATGGTGAGTGGCATGTTCTCTCTTGTCTTAGTTCTGGCTGCTATAGCGAAGTACCGTCGACTGGCTGTCTCATAAACAACGTGCATGTATTTCCCACACTTTCGGAGGCTGTAAGCCTGAGATCAGGGCTCCAGCACGGTTGGGCTCTGGAGAGGGCCCCTTCCTCCTTGTAGAGGGTTTTCTTCTAATTGTATCCTCACGTGGCAGAAAGAGAGCAAACTAGCTCTCTGGCCTCTTCTTGCAAGAGCACTAATCTCATTCATGAGGGCTCCACTTTCATGACCTAATTACTTTCCGAAGGCCCATCTTCAAATACCACCACACTGGGAATTAGATTTCAACATATGAATTTCAGGGGGACACAGATTTTCAGGCCATAACATCTCTTTTCCCAATGTCCCTCCCTTGTTTCCTCTCTCACTTCCTTTTCTTACCCAAAAGGAATAAAAATAACAGTAGCTACAATGCATATTTTTTAGGCATTTATGACATGCCAAGCACATACTACATCCAATCATTACAACCCTGTGCTTTGAGCTTCTACTTTCTTCTAGGCACTTCTAGGTGCTGGGAAAAACATAACACCTGCCCAACTCCAAAGAGGTCATAGTCTTCATATAGACAAATTCCAATAAAAATAATTCTATATCTGGTCAATTTATAACATTAGTTGAGTATTTCTATGTGCAGGGCCCTCTGGCTCTAGAATGATGTAAGAATATGTGGTCTTTGAACAGTTGAGGACACCGTGATGTGATTAACTGAACAAAATATGTTGTTTACCTAATGTTTGCTTTGCTCTGTGATAGGTGCTTTCACTTTAATTATCACTTTTTCTTTATTATTGAAAGTATTACAGATAGCCCCCTTCCCCCCCCATTGAATCCCTCCACCAGACATACAAGCCTCCCCCAAGGAAACTCTAAGCTAGGTCTCTAATATTGTTAATGCAGATATGAAAGTTGAGGTTCAAGGGGATGGTTGCTGGCCAATGAAATGAATGATCAGGATTTCAATGTAGGTCGTCTGATATCAAATCTTTATATCAGAATCTCTTTACATCATTAAGAAGTAGAGAGCCAAAGATGTGGAATCTAGACCTGTTCCAGATATTAGGCAGCTCTGTGACATGCATATGTTGCTCAGTCTTTCTGGTCATGTTTTCTCACTGGTAAAACTGGAGATAATAAGAGCTTCTCTACGGACCTCCAAATGTTGTCAGAATTGTTTATGAAGCAGCTGAAAAAATAAAAAAAGTCTTTGTCATTGATAGGGAGCTGTGTGTAGACATTTCTAGCATTCACCAATCTCAAGTATTTCCAGTGCTCAACCCCTTCTCCTGTCCCTCCTCCCATACCACCAGGGGTCAGGCAGGGATAGGACTCCTTGTGGCTGATATAAACTGAGCGGAAATGATGTATGTTACATATGAGCTGAGTCAGTGAAAAGCCCATGTATGATTCTCTAGTCACCCTCTCTACCTGCATGTCACCAATGAGACCATATGGTCAAGATGGTATAAATAATAGATATAGCCCGTGTCAGCCTGAAATAGTGAGATACTGCGTGGAAGGTAATTGTTCTGGAGAGCTGCCCAAACCTGCAGCTGGCTTTGCACGAAGCAATAATAATCTAAGTGATGGTAAATATTGAGAAGTTGGGGGTTTTGTTGTGGCAGCGTAACCTCAACCATCAGATTTATACAGAGTGGGACCACGTTAGAGAGACACAGAATATTGGAAGGTGCCCACTAGATCATTAACCCAACTCCTCTGCTTAATAATGGGAAATTAAGGCTCAGAGTAGTTAAGAGACTTGTTCAAAGTCATGCTGGGAGACAGGAGCAGAGCTGGGGTTGCAACTCAGGTCTCCTGGCATCTGGCTCAAGGCCTCCATGGGCACATGGCTGTATAGGCCTCTGCCAAGGCTTAGTGAAAATAAATGACCTAGAGCGTCTTCTCCCTTGAGCCTCTCACCTTGGGCTTCTCTGAGCGGCATTGAGTCACTGGTGCTCTCTAGTTACCGCTCCATGAGCCTTGCTGAGAAGTGGCTTCTTTTTTTCCTGGACAGACCCTGGCACTTACTGCCCTTTGTGGGGGGTCGGATCTGAGTGGGCAGAAGTAAACACATTCCCCTAAAGCAGTGCCCTTTGACATCACTGGGAATTTAATAGAAGGGAAGAAGCTATGAATAGGAGGAAAGAAAGATTCAAACAGGGTTGAACATAGTTGTTCTGCATGCAGCTCACTGGCTTTTGGTTTTCAGTTTTATTTGTTTGCATGTGTTGGCTTAGCTCCAGTGCCAGAGAGGGTCATAGGCAGAATGCTTTCAGGACTGATGTCCCTAGGTATCAGGTAAAGACCTTTGAAGGTCAACGCTGGAGATTCAGCTCTAGACCGAGGTCTCAGATGATGCAGAAACCAACAGACACAGCACTGACCGTTATTTTCATATTCTTAGCCCTGATATGGAAGGAACGGTCTCTCTCTCATCTATCTTTTTTTACTCAGAACTTCTGCCAAAGCCCTGGGCATGGTGCTTGGATGG